CTCACTATGAAAAATGATGTATTTTCAAGTTCAAATGAGCCACAAATTAGGCAAAGGCAGATCTTACCGATATTTGTGTGCTATAGCCCATGAATATTTTTATATCCAAAAATATTAAAACAAAATGGCCGAAATTTGTTCACGGACGTCCACTAAGACCATAAAAATGGAACCAATTCATCCCGCAGAGAAAATTAGTGCATTTTCAAGTTCAAATGATCTCCAAATATGGTAAAGACAGATTTTACGAATTTTCATGTGTAGCCCATGAATTTTTTTATCTAGAAATTCTGAAATAAAGAGGCCAAAAATTTTTCATGAACGGCCGTCATCACCTTAGAAATGGAACCAGTTCGTCCCCTGGGGAAATTGGTGAATATTTAAAGTTCAAAGGAGTCCCAAAGCAGACGAAACCAAATTTTATCAATTTTTGTGTAGTATAGCTCATGGATTTTTTTAATCCAGAAATTCCAAAATAAAATGACCAAAAATTTTCATAGACGTCCATTAAGAACTTAGTAATGGAACCATTTTGTCCTGTTGGGGAAAATGGTGCATTTTCTTCCGCAAACAAATCCCATAATAGAAAAAGGCAAATTTTATCATCTTTTGTGTGTTATAGCCCATGGATATTTTTAATTCGAAAATTCCAAAGAAAATGGCCGAAGTTTTTCATGATTGTCCGTTAAGACCTTAGAAATGAAATCAGTTCATCTTGTGGGGAAAATGGTGCATTTTTAAGTTGAAGCGAGTCCCAAAGCAGACAAAGGCATATTTTGCCGATTTTCGTGTGTTTAAGCCAATGAATTTTTTTATTCGAAAATCCCTAAACAAAATGACAAAAATTTTTCATGGGCGTCCGTTAAGACTTTAAAGATAGAACTAGTTCGTCCTGCAGGGAAAATGATGCATTTTCAAGTTCAATCGAGCTCCAAAGCAGGCAAAGGCCGATTTTAGTCCATCGATTATTTTGATTCGAAAATCTCGAACATGGACGTTTTTTAAGACTTAAAAATGGAACTAGTTCATCCCGCAGGAAAAATGATGCATTTTCAAGTTTAAACGAGCCCTAAAACATGCAAAGGTAGATTTTAGCGATTTTCGTGATGAATTTTTTTATCTGGAAATTCCCAAAAATAAAATCGTCAAAAATTTTCATGAACGTCCGTTAAGACATTAGCAATTGAACCAGTTCGTCCAGCGGGGAAAAATGGTGCAATTCCATGTTCAAACGAGCCTCAAAATAGGCAAAAATATATTTTGTCGATTTTCATATGTTATAGCCACGTATTTTTTTTATCATGAAATTCCAAAATAACATGGACGATATTTTTCATGGACGTTCGTTAAGACCTAAGAAATGGAACTAGTTTGTCCCACGGGGAAAATTGGTGTATTTTCAAGTTCAAACGAGCCCTACAATAGGCAAAGACATATTTTACTGATTTTCGTATGCTATAACCCATGATTTTTTTAATCCAGAAATCCTGAAAAAGAATGGTCAAAATTTTTCATGGACGTCCGTTAAGACCTTAGAAATGAAAAAAGTTCGTCCCCCAAGGATAAATGGTGCATTTTAAAGTTCAAACGAGCCCCAAAGCAGGGAAAGACTGATTTAACCAATTTTCGTGCTAACCCCATGAATTTTTTTTATACGGAAATCCCTAAATAAAATGGACGAAATTTTTTATGGACGCCCGTTAAGACCTTTGAAATGAACAAGTTTCTTCCGCAGGAAAAAATGGTGCATTTTCAAGTTCAAACGAGCCCCATAGCAGGCAAAGGTAGATTTTACAGATTTTTGTGTGCTATAGCCCATGGATTTTTTTAATTCGAAAATCTCGAAACAAAATGGCCGAAATTTTTCATAGATGTCTGTTAAGACCTTAGCAATGGAACCAGTTCATCTCGCGGAAAAAATGATGCATTTTTAAGTTCAAACGAGTTCAAAAGTAGACAAAGTCAAACTTTACCGATTTTTTGTGATATATCTCATGAATCTTTTTTATATGGAAATCCTAGAAGAATATTGTTGAAATTTTTCATGGACATCGGTTAAGACTTTAGAAACGGAACCAGTTTTTTTTCCGCGGGAAAAAAATGGTGCATTTTCAAGTTCAAACGAGTCCCAAAAATGGCAAAGACAAATTTTATCAATTTTCGTGTGCTATAACTCATTAATTTTTTTAATCCAAAATTTTCTAAACAAAATGATGCAGTTATTGAAACTAAAAAATGATGTGAGTATACGTGAAAGTTCCACTACTCATTAAGGAGGTCTTATAAAGTTTTTTGAGAAAGAAATTTTGAATTCTCCGGGTGTCAGATCATGGGCTAGTGCACATCAAAAAATTCGAGCGACTATTAAAAAGGGCATGTAAATGTCGTAATTGGTGTCAAAAGTTTGTGGGAGTGTACGTAAATGTTACATAACTCATTACAGAGGCCCTCTTAAAGTTTTTTGATAAAATAATTTTGGGTACTCTGTGTGTCAGATCCATGGGCTAATACACATGAAAAATCGGGGAATTGGGTGATCCTTTAAAAAGAGCCTTTAAATGCGGAAATGAGCCTTAAAAATAGTGCGAGTATATGTGAAGGTTTCTCTACTCATTAAGGAGGTCCTTATAAAGTTTTTTGGGAAATAAATTTTTAATTCTCCGTATGCTTAGATCATGAGTTAATACACACGAAAAATTGAGGAATTTGAATGACTCTTAAAAAAGGACTTGTAAATACGAAAATGGGTGTTCAAAAAATTGTGTGAGTATACGTAAAGGTTCCTCAACTCATTACGGAGGTCCTTATAATGTTTTTTGAGAAAAAAATTCAGATAATTTGGGCGCCAGATTCATGTGCTAATATACATAAAAAAAATCAGAAAAATTGGCGATTCTTAAAAAAATGACTTGAAAATGTAATAATGAACATTAAAAAATAGTGTGAGTGTACGTAAAAATTTTCCAACTCATTACGAAGGTCCTCACACATGTAATGATACATGTTTAACTTAATGAGGACATGAGCTAAGATAAATAGGTCAGCAGGGGCGGATCTAGGAAGGCTCAAGGGGTGTCACGGGACATGACTTCATCGTAAAAAATGTTATATAATAATTAAAAGACAGAAAAGAAAAACAATATATATATATATATATATATATATATATATATATATATATATATATATATATATATATATTGGATACTATGTTTTCTTAGAGTTATTTATTATATCATATTTATTTTTCTAAGTTTTTTTTTAGAATGAATTTTTTATCTTCAATCGGTAGAATAAAATTTAAGTAAATATCTCAGAAGGTCATTCAACTTTGTTTTATATCAAAATCACTCAACTCTGAATAATTTTTTTTATATAAAATCACTCGATCAAAATTATCATAAAAAAATTTTTAGAAGATAAAATCATTATTTTTAAAGTATATATATTTACAAGAAAATTCTCAAATATTTTGTAAGTCATGAAAAAGTTAAAAACAATTGACATGAATTTTGAACTTTTTAGTAAATTTATGGAGCAAATCAAATCTATTTTTAATGTACTTTTCGTTGAAGATTATTATAAGAGGCAGATGAATCATTCAATTAATTAAACTAATATATCAATCAAATCTCATTGCTAATCATCTATCAAACTCATCGAAGGAATTTATGAAAACTGTCGATAAATTATATTAAAGAATAATTTCACAAATAAATTTTTTTAAAATTCGTATCTTAACTTGATTCGTTGATCCATGATTGTAATTTTTTTAAAAATGGGAAGTATTTTTTTTAATTATTGCAAAGAAGAAAAACATATAAAAAGTAGAGATTTTGTGGGAGAACAATTAATTTACTTTATCATATTAAAATGTTCCTATGGTAAATTTGACCAAGTGATTTTATAAAAGAAATACTCAAAGTTGAGTGATTTTATTGATACAAATCAAAGTTAAATGACTTTACAACATAATTTTTTAAGGTTGAGTGACGTTTTGAGATATTTACTCATAAAATTTAAGGAAAATGCATAAATACCCCTAATCTATGTCCGAATTTTCAGAGATACACTTATACTATACTAAGGTCTTATTACCCCTAAACTTATTTTATGAATAATTTTCTACCCTTTTCGGCCTACGTGATACTATCTTGGAAAAAAATGTCAACACGCGCTGGGCCCACAAGATAGTGTCACGCAAGCCGAAAAGGAATAAAAAAATATTCATAAATATTCAGGGAGTGATATGACTTTAATATAGTATAGGTCTGTCTCTGAGATTTCGGCCATAGGTTGGAGGTATTTGTGCATTAGCCGAAAATTTTATATATAATCTATTCTATTACAATTATAAAATTGAAGGGGTTAAAATGTATAAAAATAAGTTAGGTGGGTGCAAAAACCACATATTACTTAATTATTAAAAAGAAAAATGGTGCCCACTCATCAGTGTAAACGGAAGTTCAAATTCAGTACTGCGATTCCTAGGGTTTAGGCCGGAGAGGACGACGGAAGAAGATGAAGCCGGTAGTAGGAACAGTAGTGTCTAACAAGATGCAGAAATCAGTAGTGGTGGCAGTGGATAGACTCTTCCACAACAAGGTTTACAATCGATATGTCAAACGGACCTCCAAATTCATGGCTCATGATGACAAAGACGAATGCAACATCGGTGACCGCGTAAATACTCTCTCTCTCTATTGTGATTTGGGAAAAAATGGTCCTTTTTCAAGTTTGCTGATGATTTTGTTTTTGATTATAAGCAATTAATTGGCTTCAAAATAATTGTTTGTATAATTGATGAAACAAAAAAGCACCCAAATTTACCCATTACCTAGCCTAGTTATAGATATAGAGATTCATTTGTGTTTAGTTGTGATCTGTTTGTGTTGTAGAATTAGGTGAAAAATGTTATATTGATCTGTATTTTTTAATTATGATTTCGTTAACTTGCAAATGGCGTCAAAATACATGTTTGTTCCTGTGTAAACTAATGAAACACCTAAAATTACTCATACAGATACACATTATAGAGATACATTTCATTTTCCTAATTCTTCGTTTGCCTCTCCCTTTCTGGTAATCTGGATGTAGGTACCATTAGTTGGGTAAAGATTGGTCTTTTTTTAGTGATGTTGCTAATGGTTATTCAAGTGTATTAGGTTTTGAGCTTGTAGATTAGCTATGAGACTCCGAAGTAATTGTTTGTTTTAATGAAGAACAAAGAAGCACCTAAAATAGCATATCTAAACTCATTGTGGAGCTTCTTTTCCAAATTCGTAGTTGACGATGTGTTCTCTTATCTTCTATGCTTGTAATCTGTTTTTTAGTACGTGAAGTGGGTGAGTCATCGTCATTGTTCAGTTCAAAATTTTGTCAATGATGTTATTTCCCGCACCCATGGGGGTTAGTTTATGTTCAGTAAAGTGGGTTGGGTACCATGAGGTCTCCGGATCAGTCACAAGCAAAGGCAAAATCACCAAGTGATTTCTTCCAGTGTGTCCTAGCCGTGCTGGACAGAGTACTTGTGTTGATGGGTGGTAGAAGGTACTATGTGGAACTAGATGATGCGTGGTCAAACACATACACCATGATTATAAAAAAAGAAATGATGTTATTAATAATGCTATTTCCTGGTTGCAACTTTGTATATAGAAGGGGGTTTCATGGTTAGTGTATAGTCTTATAGCCTTTGAAGACCACAATTAATTTGGAATTGTATTGTGGTTGACTGATGTGTTCTTCTAATGGAATTTCTGATTATATTACACCTTAAGTTATACAAGACAAGAGAAAAAGGTAAACTTTCCCTCTGAATACTAGCACGTGTGAATTACATTTCTTATCTCGAGTATGAGGAAGAAGGAGAGTGGTGAGATGGAAGCCATGTGCATAATTTTAGTTCAGATTTGGTAAATTCCGAGTATAGATGATGTATATATTTGCTTCATGTCATTAAAGGTTCTTTTGCTTTTTCCCGGTCAAATCATAATAAAATTTACTACTATAGCTGCGGTATATGCAACTGAACTGATATGTTAAGATGGTTTACTTTAATCCTTTAGTGTCATAGCAATGGAACTTTCAATAGTATTCCGTTGTATCTGACAGTCGTTCTTGTAACTTCCTGCCTCTTATTTAAGATCAATACTACTGAATTTTTGTACAGTTGTGAATGTTGTTGAAGCTTATTAGTGATGATTTAAGATTATAATTGGGGAACAAGATATTGAGTTGGGGATGAAATTCCGATTTCAGGTTAAGTTGGATCATTCAAGACCACTGAGCAAGCGCAAGCACTGGGTTGTAGCTGAAATTTTGAAAAGAGCAAGAATTTATGTGCCTCCGCCACGAGTTACCACTGAGAGGGTCAACAAGACTCAAGTGTCTGCCCCCTAATGCTAGTTAGAGCTGAAAGAGAATTACTATCTCAATCTTTGTCTTGTGTATCCAGAACAAATTGCCTATTAACTGTTAACTTTTTTGAAACAAGTACTGCTCACTGCTCAGAAACGTAGAGTTTCTACTCAACCTCCTCGATCAGTGCAATTAGATTACCATTTTATTCCTGCACTCAATAAAAAAAATTTATCCTTTAGTTAAATATCAGTTATTCCTGGAAAGGTTACATTCAATTACTACCATTGAATTTGATATTGTTTTCATATAAATAGTGTCGAACATACAGAAGCTAACAACATGATGATATTACAACTCTTTAAACAGCTGAAGGAGACAGTATTTTAGCCCTCTTCAGATGATATGGTAAACACCCTCTTCACAAGCATAACTATGTAGGAACTTTAATTAAATGCCCAAAATTTTCTGCTTCTACGTTGACGCGAAAAAAGAGTTTCTTCTGTATCTAATATGAACTGAAAACCTTCAATAGACAAGTCCCAGAAGCATTCCTAGAAAACATATCTGTCTGGGGGTGCTTCTTCTGGAATCTGAAAAAAGAAGCAACAAGGATGTAAAAACTGACTTCAATATGTTATGAAAATTGGTACTTTAAACGTATTACAACGAATAAAATACATAGGTAGACATGCTTGCATATGCACCATATATCAACTTTGGTTAAACACATAACTGAATGCTAAAATGTATACACTCTTGAGGGGCGCTCTGATGTTCCAGTATCATATTTCAAACCACATTTGATACTTTTCGACTATTACAAAACTGCATATGACCATAATCCTATCGAGCAGTTTTCAAGAAAAATGATATATTTAGCTTTTTCTATAAGGTCTCTTGATTCAAATGAGCTGAGGCTCCTTCGGAAACAGCCTCCCAGGACTCTGTTGAAGTCACGTCATACATAATGGTGAAAAGCAAGGAAAATATTAAGAGCATACCTCCCCAATTTTCCATTCCTTCTTAGTCCAAATGCTGTTATCCCCGCTGAAGTCCTCTGTTGATGCAATATTCCTGCAAAATGAGGGCATCAGAAAGAACAACTAAAAGGACGTCATCATAAGGTTACGGTTTCAAACTTCAATAGAAGAATGAAAAGGCCAAAATATTGGTGGATTAATTCTTCTCCATAGTCTAAATAATAATCATGGCAAGTTAAGTAACTACAGCTGCAACTTACGTCAAGTTGATACTGACAGGGGACGTCGCAACAGGAAAAAGCCCCTGAGAAGTAGTAGGAAGTTGGCCACCAGAGGGATTAGCAAAATGTGGTGAGGTCGTAGAGGTGGAAAATAAGTTCCTTCCAGAGCTTGCGAAAATACTGCTGGGAGTGGAAGGATTTTGATATGACTGGGTAGGGACTTGGGTTCCGAAGCCAAAGGAACCTGCAAGCAAAGTCAAGCTACTAAATAAAAACGCATACTCAAGAACTGATAATACTCGAAAACCCTGTCAAATTACCTGATGTTGATGTATTCCCAAATGAAAAAGCATTCACCCCAGATGAATTTGATGTCTTAAAAGAGTTCCCAGGGAGACTGGGTTGCCCAAATGTACTAGTTGGTGGAGTTGATGTCCTGTTAATTTGAAAAAAATGAAGTCAGAAGCTGGTAATAGCCAAAATTCTAGCATATGCAGATTTATGGTAGAAACTACATGTGTGAGAAAAATAATATTTCTACCAAAGACGATTAAAGAACTTCAGTGCTGGATGTTATATAAAAAAGGAACTGAGAAAGATTTGGAAGAAAATTCCAATCTTCATATTATGGACGGTCTGCAAGCAAAGAGACCAGCTGTGGTTTGAAGGAAAAGCTGCAGCTATCTACATGATGAAATGTAAATCTCTTAGCTTACTGGCTTGTTGGATGTAAATTAAATCATGTTATGAAGATGTTGCTACGATAGATTTTATTAGCTCATTACTAATTGATTTTGGTTTAGCTAACAGTAAAATTAACTTATCAAAAAAGCCAAATTCTAGTATAAATGCACTAATGCAGGTTCTTATGCATCAGTCTAACCCTGTATTCAGTATGGTTCCCAACTGACTAAAACTTGAGGCTGAAGGAGGAAAACTGCTTTGAGCACTTGACAATGCATTTGGTGCAGCACCAGGAAAAGGACTTTGAGCACTCAATGAGGCATTTGGTGCGGCGCCAGGAAAAGGACTTGAGGCACTTGGAGTGGCACCAGGAAAAGGACTTTGAGCACTCAATGAGGCACTTGGTGTGGCACCAGGAAAAGGACTTTGAGCATTAAGAGCAGAAGTTGATGAAGATGCATAAGGATTTTGCAATAGATTTTCGAATTCAGCTACTTTAGAATTAACCTGGCTCCTCTCTCTCTCAACCTGCATTAACACGAGGACAGAAAAAGGTTTGTTAGAACTTAGAAGCAAAATCACAAGATGATATTAGCTGATGAAATGATAAGAGTTTACTAATAAGTTGTGAATCATGTTAAGTTAGTTATCTCTCTTAACTAATCTAAAGCCCTCTGCTGCACCTCAAAGTCTTCCTTTTCGATAAGATAGAATTCTTTGATTGATTTTTGAGAGTAAATTGCATTTATGCATATATTCAAATAATGAAAACAATTTGCAATTGCACCAATCAGTATCAGCCAAGAAGACAGATCAAGAAGGTAGCGACGGCGGTGTCTTACAATAGACATCAAGCTCTGTCCACGTTTCGCATCATCGTATGCTACTGCTCGCAGCTCTTCATAGCTAACATCACCAGTAATATCACAAGGACCACTGCATACAAAACAAATTGCAACTGCTGATCAATCTCTTTGATCTACCAATTTCATGAAACAGGCACGTGTACATAGAATTTGAATATGGGCCCACCAGATATATGCAGGGTTCCATAGAATAGAAATATGAATCTTTTTCTTTTTTCTACTTTCAGTTTTAGAATAGAGAAAGAGTAGAAACTAAGAGGATGCTCTCTAGAGGAGTTGCAACAAGTGCACCCTATGATATTTTAGTTTGAAAAGAAAGAGAAAAGGTGCAATCACTTCTCCAACCAGTGTTCAAGAAAGCGAGCAAGCGAGCAAGCGATGAAGCGAAGCAATGCGAGCCTTCTACGCTTCACAGACTAGAATGAGTATGTGAGCACTTCATCGCCTAAAGCGTGAAGCGGGGCCCTATTACTTTTTACCGCTTCACGCTTCCCTGAACACTGTCTCCAACCAAAATTCCTCAGACTAAGATTTGAAAATTGTCATCTCCCAAGACAGGCTTCAACTGAACAAGCTCAACCTTGAAATAGAAGTGGTAGGCGGATGTTGAACTCTTCAACTTGGCCATTGAAGAAAGCGAAGGCTGGGCCTGAGACTAGGAAAGAACAAAATATGGGGGGGGGGAGGGGGGGGGGGCCAATAGCTGATAAAAGGCACAAACTAAAAAGATACTAGTATTTGTGTTAATGCATGATTCGTTCTTTGAGTAGTAGATCATTTAGGGAAGAGAGAACTCTGTGGGCTCTGTTGAATTGTCTCCAAACTCTATCTGGCAAATGATCCAACTCATTAACTCTCAATAATAATTAAAGAAGCTTGATGAGTACTTAAATTGGCAAATAAAAGAGAGGGCTGGGGATCTTCATATTCCAATTAATACTAATTAAAGAAACTAGATGACTTGCCAAACAAAACAGAATGATCTACAATGGGTCTTCTTCATGAGAGAAACTCAAAGTATGACGCAAGCTGATTTAGAAAAGTGAGTGAAGTAAAGTTAAGATCTAAAACATACTTTTTACGATGACCATAGCAGGTAAGCAGCCACAATGGCTTCTCATTATTAAAATCTTCCACAATCTGGCGTCTGCATGACTCAGCATCTGTGCAGCTTCACATGTAGCAGAAACAAACCATTAATTCCACTTAAATCATAATGCTAAAAGCAAAACAGAAAGGTTTGTGCCACAGAGCACTCACGTGTGATTAGGTGCTACAGGCTGATTGTCGGTTTGCCGCGATGAAGAACTGTTGGTAGTTGCAGAACGAGTCCACTTGTTTTCAAAAGGCTAAAAATGAAAAAAAGAAGTTAGTATGCATATGAAGACCTGATAAGAGTTTATTCAGGATAAACCAGATGACTCAATCCTGGGAGAGTTTACTTCTAGGTCACCTAGACTTTTACATTGTCATAAAACCTATCAATTCATTTTTTTTTTTTTTTTTTGATAAAAACCTATCAATTCATTTTAGTTCTTCATAACATCTAGAAAACAGGATAGAATCGAACCTACACATACTCATGCAAAAGTCCACAATCATAGTTGTATTACATGAATATGTCACTGATCTGATAAAGAAATAATACTGAAAGTTACAAGGACCATACGTAAATATTGACTCACCAGTAAACTGCTGTTGGTGACAACAGTATGTACATTGGAAAATTTTAATAACCACAAATACAAAACAGTAAGTATTGGACTCCACAAACTTATTATAAAATATTTAACTCCATATGTTTCCCTTTATCAACCTTTCCTTAAGATTCATGTGACTTTTTAGTATGAAGAAAGCATCAGTGCCATTATTTTGTTCGCTGAAATTAAAAGATGGCCTTGTAAAGATGAAACTTCAGATAGCATATAAAATTTCGTAGCAGTCTTGCTATTGAAACTTCTTTTTCAATTAACGAGAAGGACTCGTATGTTGTCAACCAAAATCCTGTTCCTTCTCTATATGTAAACCCCACAACAGCTACATTCTTATTAACACATATTTAAGAAAATGTAAGGCCTGACATGACTGAATTTTCAATGGTTCATATAACTTTCAAGGCTTAAATAGCAGCAATGGCAGATTGGAACGGAAAGGAAATATGAATGGGAAGTTCACTTTGAAGTCTTGTTACAATGTTCTAACAGGACAAACCCTTGTAATTCTGAAGGTTCATAGGAAATAAGTTTGGAAATCAAAAGCCCCCACTTGGTTACGTGTTTTGTATGGTTGTTGAACAAAGAAGTTTGTGTTACCATTTCAAAAAAAGAAACGGAGGAAGAAGCTTGCCTTAGCGAAAACAACTTGCAAAGAAGTGGCTTTTATCTAAGTAATAGATGCTACATGAGTTGAGAGAATTCTGGAACAAATGAATCCTCTATTATTACACTGTTCAGTCTGATTTTAAGTTTGGCAGATGTTCTTCAGTATTTTGGGACTAGAGTGGGTGACGTCAAGATCTACAGGTGACGTTTCAATTTTTTGGAGTAGGATGGCTTCGTTGGGCTTTGAACATGAGACCTCATGGTTCTCAACCCACTTCATTGGGGACTAGGCCATACCCATGGGACATTTCTAAATTTCTTACTTCCAATTCTTTATCTTTATGACTCACCACCGTTTCTTCAACTCTTAAGATAATACCATTGAGCACTTACAACATGTTAACACTTGTTGAGACATGAAGATAAAGAATGATATGAATTCTAGTGTCTAGGATTAAAATATCTAGAGAGCCATTATCGCTTGGCATGTATTAGCAGGTAAAATTGAAAATATGGAGAGAGGACTCCTCAAAAATGGTACTGAGGAAGCATATTATTTATAATAAATATAATAAATGCTAAATAATCTGCAGCAAACAGCTATAATTAGAGAGTAACAGCTAAAGTACCTTGTATTGATTCTGTTTGAGCCCCAAATCACTAGAACCTCTTGGCTGGGAGTTGCTCTGAACACCAAAACCAAAAGGGTTGGACTTTGTCTGCTGCATATTTGTACTCTGAAAATTAGTGGATTGACTGCCAAATCCAAATGGATTTGGCTTCGGTTGTTGTTGGGCAGCATGAAGAAATTTACAACGTTCACCATATTGACAGCTGGATGAATAAGACAACAATCAGATCCTATTTTTCATACTCAAACAAAGGAACCTATTCATAACAAGGATTACTCAACTCTCATAAAGAACTACTAATTAAATTAAGAATTTTTATGTTTCAAGTTAAAGACATCATTTTTACTTTCTAAGACATCACAGCAAAAACACCACCTTTCTAAGTTCTAGATGGAATATCATACCAATTATTATTCGATCTTAGGTCAATATTATGTAATTTGAAAAGGAAACACAACCCCCTACCTCCCGCGAGTTCACTTCCCAACCTAGCTTTATATATCCAGATATATGAAAAAATAAAAAAGGTTCAACCGGGGATCTGTCCCCCCTTCATTTAACCTTTTGGTAGGTCCCTGTTATCCCACACTAATGTAAATAAGAGGCATGCTTAACATTCATTCTTGATGAGTTCCCAGAAAAAGGAAAGAGACATTCTTTTTGAAACAAAATAACAAGAAAAGTAAGAAAAACAAATTGAAACGGAGGGAGTAATATTTATTCCTTTGCTAGGACTTGAACATGAGACATCATAAGAAAAACAAATTGAAACGGAGGGAGTAATATTTATTCCTTTGCTAGGATTTGAACATGAGACATCATGATTCTCAACCCTCTTTATTATCCACCGGCCACACCCTTTGACCCTAAAGCTCATGACTTTACTTAGCTAAGATCTTTCAACCATTACCATAAAGATTGAATACAACAATCAAGCAACCAACTTCCCATCAATCCTAAACCACTAAGGCAATATGAATTTTCTAAATTCATCCCCCACCCCGGCCATACCAGATAACTCTATCCACCAGACCTGGACAAATTTTAAGAAATCACCAAGTGTTTCTACCTACATTGGGATTTAAACTAGCGACATCATGATTTACAACCCACTTCATTAACCATCTACAACACCCTTTGATGCTAAAGCTCATAACTTTACTTAGCTGGGATATTTCAACCATTATAATAAATATTAAGTACAACAATCAATCAACCAACTTCCCATCAATCCTAAACAACTTCACCCCCATCCCCACCCAATAAAATGCTCAAAGAAACTATTTTTACTCAACTCTACACCTTTATATCGATTAGCAAAAGAATAATACTAAATAAAAATTGAATCTTTGACATGAAAGTTTCAAGGGTTAATCAAGAATCCTATGAATATATGCATAATAAAGTATATAGATTGAAATTAAAACCAATTTTTTAGTTATTTTTACCTGCCACGCATAAAATTTCTGCAGGGTTCTTTCCTTGGAGGCATAGCGTTAAGTCCTTTTTTTGCTGCTTCTTTTTTTCTTGACTTGTAGCTTCAAAATCTTGGGTCTATTTATAAAAAAAAATACTTAAAAAAGAAGGAGGTGGGTGTGGGTGTGAGGGGGGGGGGTTGGGGGGTGAGACGGGGGCGAGTCTTTTTTTTTAAAAAAAAAAATAAAATTCTCGCCTCTTACTCTGTATTGAAGTCCGATTAAATCTCAATCTATGCAAAAAAAAGTTTCATATTAAAAATTAAAGTTTTTTACAAAACTCAAACTCAAAATTTGAAAAAAATTAAAAAATCTCGATGGTTTTTCTATTTTTAATTGTAATTTTTTAGAGGCTAATGAGTATTGTTTTTAGTTCCATGTAGAATGATATTCAATTTATAGTTACAACTAATATATGAGTTTCTTTTTTGTCTATTATATATATTATACCTAAATTACCCTCATATGCAGAAAACAATGCACACTTGACATAAGATAAAATAGTCAAATAATTGTAGTGATATATAATTTGTTAAAAATTGTAGAGATTTATAAACAGAGGGCTAAAATCTATGCATATCATCAATTAATTAAAGGTTAAAATTTGCTTAGATACATGAGAGACAGTACAAGAATAAAATTAAAGGTTAAATTTGCTTAGATAGATTAGAGATGTTACAAGAACAAAATTTAAAATTTGGTAATATTTTAAATATTATAGCTTATACTCAATTTAATTTGTTTTAAATGTTTTTATTTTGATTAGACGCTAAATTTTAGAAAAAAAATTAATAGCATCGATCAAGAGACAATTTCAGATCAAAGTATTTTATGAATTATAAACATCTCAAAAAGATAATAGAGACCTACAAAGATTTACTCAAATCAAACAAAAATTAACCCTCGAGTGCAAAAGCATAAGAGAAAATCTTTGTAAAATTAATCATTATGAATCTTACAATAAATTTAATTGACACGTTCAATGAGAATAAAAAGAGAATTCAATCAGTTAGTTATTAAATATGAATCGATAAAATGCAAATTATATAAAAACTGTCATTTTTTTATATTTAAAACCCTAATTAATCGAAAATCTCAATTTTAAAAACATTTTCTCCTAATGAATTTTACGTAATTATTCGTAAGTTTTAATAAATTAAATTTTAATATAAATATCAAACACGAAACGATATCGAGAGGGTGGCCCTTAATAGTTCCCCCTTTTGAGTTCTTTTGACGGTTAATCCAACAATTTGCTTACATTTCCCCATTCTTGTTTTCTCCGTTCACTGCTTCCTTTATATATCGAACTTTATCTTCTTTAACAATCCCATAAAATCCATCAAATTTTTCTCTGTAATCATGGCTGCATCAGCCTCTTCTTTTACTGCTAACAGTTTTTCGCAGCCCATCAACTCCACCAGATCCATTGACAACAACAACAAGAAGACCCTTTTGGGAAATCAGCTTAAAGATAGCTCCTTTTTTCTTGGATCAGCTAAGAAACTCTATATGAAGAAACCCTTTTCGTCTCAGAACTCGAAAAGCAGATCTATTGGTGTTTATGCTGTTTCTGAGGTTGCTAAGAACAAGAAGCTCAAAACAGACTCACCACTCTCCAATCTGGTACTTGCATTTTTTTACTTTCTTCTTAAAAAATGTTTATTTTTGATAATTGTGTTGTTCAGGCCAGCTTGTGTGCAGATGGGAAGAAATCACAATTGATGTTTGTTTTGGTCTTTTGCAATTGGGTTATGCTTGTTTAAATCATTGGTGTTTTGAACTGGATTTCTGTTGATTAAGTGCTTATATTTCGTTGTACCAAAAGTATGACGATTTAGCATTACAATTTTGGTGTGAATTCCGATATGGAGTGTAAAATTTACATACTTAGAATCTGTAAGATTAGCAGCATTGTGTGAATTTGAATATTGGTTAATTGTTGTTTTGAAAACACGATTTCCATATTTCACAAGTAAGTAAACTAATGTTCAGTGTTTTTTGATTGTTAGAACGGGTAAGAATCTCACATTGGTTGGGGTATGGACGGGCGGTTTGTTGATATGGAATTGGGCAAACCTCTCGTCAAGATCTAGCTTTTGGGTTGAGTTAGGCTCAGGTGATATCTTCACATTGTATTAGTACCACGTCAATGCCTGTTTGGGATTTCGGTCCACGTTCTAGTTGAGCCTAGATGTGAGGGGGGAGGGGGGTGTTAGAGTGGGTTAGAGTTTCACAATGGTTGGGAATAGACGGATGATTTGCTTATAAGGACTTGGGCAATTCTTCCCTTAAGAACTATGTTATGGGGTTGAGTTAGGCCAAGTGACACATCTTTATTGCAGTAAAATCATATATTATTATAAGTGGAAAGCTCTCAACTTAAAAAAGTTGAATTACTATTTAGCTCGTACAACAAATTAAAAAGTAATTAAATTTTTAATTAATTAAATAATATTATTGAACAATATTTTCTGACAATTAATTTGAAAGTTGAAAAGACTTGATCACTTTATTATGAAATTTGAAAGGATGCATGAAAATGAAAAGTATAATCAGTTATGTACGGAATTTAAAGGGTTACATCACTATAAATAGGCTTATATCCTTCATTGCATGGAATTCAAATGGCTACATGAGTACCATGACTGACATATACTCATATTCATCATTTGGATTGTTACAAAGAGAGTTTTCCAGGCTGGATGGAGTTCAAAGCATGAAACAATTTTAGCTTCTTGGACAATATGCTTGGTCTTGATAGGAGAATAATGGTTTGGGATATCAGGATCGATATATTAAGAACAAACTCCAGAAGATGAATCACTAGAGTTGCTATTTATTCATGGTTATATTATTACAAATCTAGCATATGGCTGAACATCCACCATGATGATCACCTGTATGGAGATAATCTCTCCCCCCCCCCCCCCCCCGGATGGTCCTAGGATACTAATATATATATATATCCCTTGGGTAAGTAACAATTGTTTTTTCCTATAACATTTTCATATATGTATTTAGCCAACAAAGATTGAGTCAAATTTTGTTTTCATTTAAACGTGTAATATACACGTGTAATGCACGTGTCAAGAACTAGTATCTAAAAATGTACCAAAAGTTGTATAAGCTCTAACACTAGTAAAAGTATTATATAAAATTGAACACAGAGTAGTTATTTTTGTATTTGCTTGTGTTATTCACTCTACTGTAAGCAAATCTAGTTCTAATTCAATTTTTTGTTTGTGTTGTCAATCTAGTTAATTACCAAGGATGAAGGGTTGGAGTTGTATGAAGATATGGTTCTTGGAAGAGCGTTCGAGGACATGTGTGCCCAAATGTATTACAGGGGGAAAATGTTTGGTTTTGTGCATTTGTACAACGGCCAAGAGGCAGTCTCTACTGGGTTCATTAAGCTACTGAAGAAGGAGGATTCTGTGGTTAGCACTTATCGTGATCACGTCCATGCATTGAGCAAAGGGGTTCCAGCACGTCAAGTGATGAGCGAGCTCTTTGGGAAGACCACTGGCTGTTGCAGAGGCCAGGGTGGCTCCATGCACATGTTCTCTAAAGAGCACAACGTTCTTGGTGGTTTCGCTTTCATTGGTGAGGGTATCCCTGTGGCAACAGGTGCCGCCTTCACTAGCAAGTATAGAAGGGAGGTCATGAAAGAGGCAGATTGTGATCATGTAACTATGGCCTTCTTTGGTGATGGAACTTGCAACAATGGCCAGTTCTTTGAGTGTTTGAACATGGCTGCTCTTTGGAAATTGCCCATTATATTTGTTGTTGAGAACAATCTGTGGGCAATTGGGATGTCTCACTTGAGATCTACTTCAGATCCTGAAATTTGGAAGAAAGGTCCCGCCTTCGGGATGCCTGGGGTTCATGTTGATGGCATGGATGTGTTGAAGGTGAGGGAGGTAGCAAAGGAAGCTGTTGCCAGAGCTAGGAGGGGCGATGGTCCCACTCTGGTTGAGTGTGAGACTTACCGGTTTAGAGGACACTCTTTGGCTGATCCAGATGAGCTTCGTGACCCTGGTGAGAATTCCAATCCCCTTCTGTGTCTATTGTACTTATTTTATATTCCCCTAATCCATTCAGCTTTATTTCTTTTAGTACTGCTGCTACTGGTATTAGTAGTACCATACTCTGGCTTTAGCATATGTTTTAAACTTGCTGAATGTACCAATCATTACGTTCTCTTTATACGCTATTGTTAGTCTATCTCATAAAACTCAGGTAGCTTTTCTGTAGTCTTCATTAAATGTGATCTCATTACACTGTTGACTCTTTCGTGAAAAAAACAAATAGTTTGGAGTTGAAGCTTTGCTTTTTATTGTTGTTGTTGTTCTGTTTGTAGTTAGAACTAGTGAATAACATGATATCTGCATTTTGATCTATCGGAGTGTGACAAATTGGTTGAAGACTATGGAAATTGTAATGCTTAAGAAATGTGAGAAAATCTAGTATTGCGCTGGTAAAGTGTGTGCAATGAACATTTTTCGCCCTTTGATCTATATTGCTTCCATTTAAGACTAAAACGTTAAGTATTAGTGTCTGAGGGTCGCCGCATATTTGTATACTGCAGATGAAGTATATAGATTATAGACAACATAAGAATACTATGCACAACAAAATTGCTCTCATGGACAGAACTCCAGTTTTGAAATGCTATAAATTTTATGACAGCTTATAAGATGATCAGCCTCTGAAATCCATCATTTTTATTGTTGTATATTATAAGCCAATGATTTCTCGTATTTGACCTTAACCTGTTCATCTTGGCAGCTGAAAAGAACCATTATGCTGCACGAGATCCTATCAGTGCCTTGAAGAAGTATATGTTTGAGAACAATCTGGCAAGTGAAGCAGAGTTGAAGGCCATTGATAAGAAGATTGATGAACTGGTTGAAGAAGCTGTCGAATTTGCGGATGAAAGCCCTCATCCTGTTCGTAGCCAGCTGCTCGAGAACGTGTTTGCTGATCCAAAGGGCTTTGGCATTGGGCCTGACGGAAGGTACAGATGTGAAGATCCCAAGTTCACCGAAGGCACTGCTCATGTCTAGGTCTCAAGGCACATTCAGTAATCAATAATATCAGGTTCTAAGTTACTGAATTAGTGATTGCCAATTATACTTCTATATAAAGGTCTGGAAGTCCTCCTTATTAGGAAGTTTGGTACAAAGGTACTTTATTATTTCAATTTTAGTTCAAAATTTTGTTGTTATTAGTTTCACATTGTTTTCAAGTTGTACTATATTATGAACAACAAAATCTATTTCAAACACACAATCTCTTATTTGGAAAAACCAAGTTGTATGGTTATAATAATCGTCTCGTATCCAAGGGTGTGGTTTAGTGGTCAATGAAGTGGGTTGAGAGCCACGACAGGTTCAAATTCTAGCAAAGACCAAAAAAAAGCCATTAGGTGATGTGTTCCCATCTGTCCTAACCTTTGGTGGATAGATTTACCTAGTACCTGTTGCTGGTGGGAGGTGACGTGGAATTAATCGAGATGTGTACAAACTTGGAAAACATCACCTAAAAGTTTTTAAATTCTCACCCATCTGTTGCTCTGTATCGAAGTTCGATTAAATTTCAATCTTTAGTGAAATGTCTCATATTAAAAAAAATTAAAATTTTTATAACTGATTCAAACTCGAAATCTGATGAAGAATGAAGGATCTAGATGATTATTCTATTTCTAATTCTTTTTTAATTTTTTGGAGGCTAATGAGTATTTTGTTTAGTTCCTTGTGGAATTATTTAATTTATTAAATAATTAGTATATTAGTTTTTTTTTTTGTCTATTTATATATATTATGCCTAAATTACAGTCATATGAAGAAAATAATGTACACTTAACATAAGATAAAATAGTCAAATAATTGTAGTGATATATAATTTGTTAAAATTGTAAAGATTTATAACTAGAGAGATTAAAACTATGCATATATCAATTAGTTAAAGGTTAAATTTGTTTAGATATATCAGAGATAGCACAAGAATAAAATTGAAGATTAAATTTGCTTAGATACACAATAATAAAAATTGAAATTTGGTGATATTTAAAGATTAAAATATTTTAAATTATTGGTTATTATAAATTATGGTCTATTTGATTTATCTTAAATATTTTTATTTTGATTAGACACTAATTTTTAGAAAAAAGCGAGTAACATCGACAAAGAGACAATCTTAAATCGAAAATGTGTTTTCATGAAGTATAAACATCTCAAAAAGATAATAGAGACGTATAAAGATTTACTCAACTTAAACAAAAAGTGACCCGCATGTGCAAAAGCATAAGAGAGAATCTTCGTGAAATTAATTATTATGAATTTTACAACAAAGTTAATTGACAGATTCAATGACAATATAAAGAGAATTCAATTAATTCGCTATTTAATACGAATTGATAAAATGCAAATTATTCAATAAGTAAAAATAAATTTTTTTTAAAAAATAAAACATATCTAAACCCTAGTTAATCAAAGTTTTCAATTTCAAACCTTAGGTATGAAAATATTTTTAGATAACATTTTATTCTAATGAATCTTATCGTAATTATTTATAAGTTTTAATAAATCATACGACAATATAAATATTAGACATCGAACGAAATCGAGAGGGTGAGGCCTTAATAGTTCTATCAAATTATTAGTCCAACATCCCCATTTTGAGTTCTTTGACGTTAAATCCAACAATTTGCTTACATTTTCCCTTCTTGTTTTCTCCGCTCACTTCTTCCTTTATATATCACGCTTCATCTTCTGAACAATCCCATAAAATACATCAAGTTTTTCTCTGTAATCATGGCTGCATCAGCCTCTTCTTTTGCTGCTAACAATTTTTTGCAGCCTATCAACTCCACCAGATCCATTGACAACAACAACAAGAAGACCCTTTTGGGAAATCAGCTTAAAGACAGCTCCTTTTTTCTTGGATCAGCTAAGAAACTCTATATGAAGAAACCCTTTTCGTCTCAGAACTCGAAAAGCCGATCTAATGGTGTTTTCGCTGTTTCTGAGGTTGTTAAGAACAAGAAGCCCAATACAGACTCCTCACTCTCCAATCTGGTACTTGCATGTTTTTAGTTTCTTCTTAAAAAATGTTTCTTTTTGATAATTGTGTTGTTCAGGCCAGCTTGTGTGCAGATGGGAAGAAATCACAATTGATGTTTGTTTTTGGTCTTATGAGTTGTTTTTTACAATTGGGTTATGATTGTTTAGATCAATGGTGTTTTGAACTGGATTTCTGTTAATTAAGTGCTTATATTTTGTTTTACCAAAAGTATGATGATTTAGCATTACAATTTTGGTGTGAATTCCGATTTGGAGTATAAAATTTACATACTTAGAATCTGTAAGATTAGTAGCATTGTGTGAATTTGGATATTGATTAAGTGTTGTTTTGAAAACACGATTTACATATTTCACAACTAAGTAAACTAATGCACAACGTTTTGTGATTGTTAGAACGGGTAAGAATCTCACATTGGTTGGGGTATGGACGGAACGTGTGTTGATATGGAATTAATCCTCCCCTCGAGATCTAGCTTTTGGGTTGAGTTAGACTCTGTGCTATTTGGTGGGCCAAAGTAGTCTACCGGCGGTGAAAAGACGATAGTAGACCAGACGGGGGCACCACTAGAACACCCGAATAAGGATCTATTTTCTTTTGAAGCTATAGTACATATGCACTTTATACGTTTGTCTTACTAATAATATTCCTTAGCGTACATCTGTACTATAAACCTCCCCTCTGGGAGGTGTTTTCAAGGGAAGGCGGACTCCGCAGCTAGGTATCATATTTGGGATTCGCGTCCACGTTCTAGTTGGGCGTAGATGTTAGGGGGTGGTGGTGTTAGAGTGTGTTAGAGTTTCACATTGGTTGGGAATAGACGGATGATTTGCTAATATGGACTTGCACAATCCTTCCCTTAAGAGCTAGTTCATGGGGTTGAGTTAGGGTCTAGTGCCACATCTTTACCGCAATGAAAAATATCTATAAATGTTCCAAAAGTTGTAGTCAAAGAAAAATGGTAATAAGCTCTAACGCTAGTAAAAGTATTATATAAAATTGGACCAGCGTAGTTATTTTTGTATTTGCTTGTGTTAATTCACTTACTGTAAGCAAATCTAGTTTTAATTCAATTTTTTGTTTGTGTTGTCAATCTAGTTAATTACCAAGGATGAAGGGTTGGAGTTGTATGAAGATATGGTTCTTGGAAGAGCGTTTGAGGACATGTGTGCCCAAATGTATTACAGGGGAAAAATGTTTGGTTTTGTGCATTTGTACAACGGCCAAGAGGCAGTCTCTACTGGGTTCATTAAGCTACTGAAGAAGGAGGATTCTGTGGTTAGCACTTATCGTGATCACGTCCATGCATTGAGCAAAGGGGTTCCAGCACGTCAAGTGATGAGCGAGCTCTTTGGGAAGACCACTGGCTGTTGCAGAGGCCAGGGTGGCTCCATGCACATGTTCTCTAAAGAGCACAACGTTCTTGGTGGTTTCGCTTTCATTGGTGAGGGTATCCCTGTGGCAACAGGTGCCGCCTTCACTAGCAAGTATAGAAGGGAGGTCATGAAAGAGGCAGATTGTGATCATGTAACTATGGCCTTCTTTGGTGATGGAACTTGCAACAATGGCCAGTTCTTTGAGTGTTTGAACATGGCTGCTCTTTGGAAATTGCCCATTATATTTGTTGTTGAGAACAATTTGTGGGCAATTGGAATGTCTCACTTGAGATCTACTTCAGATCCTGAAATTTGGAAGAAAGGTCCCGCCTTCGGGATGCCTGGGGTTCATGTTGATGGCATGGATGTGTTGAAGGTGAGGGAGGTAGCAAAGGAAGCTGTTGCCAGAGCTAGGAGGGGCGATGGTCCCACTCTGGTTGAGTGTGAGACTTACCGGTTTAGAGGACACTCTTTGGCCGATCCAGATGAGCTTCGTGACCCTGGTGAGAATTCCAATTCCCTTTTGTCTCTAGTGTACTTAGTTTATATTTTCCTAATCCTTTCAGCTTTATTTCTTTATAGTATACTGCGACTGGTATTAGTAGTACCAGACTCTGGCTTTAGCATATATTTTGAACTTGTTGAATGTACCAACCATTACATTCTCTTTATATTCTATTAGTCTATCTCATAAAACTCGTGTAGCTTTTCTGTAGTCTTTGTTAAATGTGATTTCATTACACTTTTGACCCTTTTTGAGAAAAAAAAACAACTAGTTTGGAGTTGAGTCTTTGCTTTTTAGTTGTTGTGCTGTTTGTAGTTAGAACTAGTGAATACCATGATATCTGCATTTTGATCTATCGGACAGTCAAAAATTGGTTGAAGACTATGGAAATTGCTATGCTTAAGTAATGTGAGAAAATCTATTATTGCACTGGTAAAGTGTGTGCAATGAATGTTTTCGCCCTTTGATCTCTATTGCTTCCATTTAAGACCAAAACTTTAAGTATGAGTGTCACCCCATATTTGTATACGGCGGATGAAGTGTATAGATTATAGACAACATAAGAAAACTACGCACAACAAAATTGCTCTCGTGGACAGAACTCCAGTTTTGAAATGCTATAAATTTTATGACAGCTTATAATAGAATTAGCCTCTGAAATCTATCATTTTTACTGTTACATATTATTAGCCAATGATTTATCTTATTTGACCTTAATCTGTTCATCTTGGCAGCTGAAAAGAACCATTATGCTGCACGAGATCCTATCAGTGCCTTGAAGAAGTACATGTTTGAGAACAACCTGGCAAGTGAAGCAGAGTTGAAGGCCATTGATAAGAAGATTGATGAACTGGTTGAAGAAGCTGTTGAGTTTGCCGATGAAAGCCCTCATCCTGTTCGTAGCCAGCTGCTCGAGAACGTGTTTGCTGATCCAAAGGGCTTTGGCATTGGGCCTGATGGAAGGTACAGATGTGAAGATCCCAAGTTCACCGAAGGCACTGCTCATGTCTAGGTCTCAAGGCACATTCAGTAATCAATGATATCAGGTTTTAAGTTACTGAATTAGTGATTGCCAATTATACTTCTATATAAAGGTCTGGAAGTCCTTCGTATTAGGAAGTTTGGTACAAAGGTACTTTATTATTTCAATTTTAGGTCAGAATTTTGTCGTCTTTTTTAGTTTCATATTGTTTTCAAGTTGTACTATATCATGAACAACTAAATCTAAAAGACCTTGCTTTCCTTTTTCTTGCACTTGTATTGCTTCTGAAGATCTAGTTAGTTTCCTGGCATTCTATCTGGACCATTTGTTTAGTTTCTTTCAGCTTCTTTGCTGGTCCGAAACTTTGTTCGAAATGAAG